ATCCGACAATCCAACTCCAGCGACAAAAATCTTACTACTACTATTAAAATCCAGAGTATTAATAAAGGTTAAGTAAAAAAGTTGGAGTAGTAAAAGAAAATAAATAAAAGACAAAGGAAAAAGAAAAAAAATCTAATCTTATCCGCGTTGATTTACTTTGCTTCTGTTATTCCCTCGCAGCCCCTATCGGCCTATACCGCGTAAGCTTTAGATTAAAATAGAACTTCAACAAACATCTTCAATCTTCATCTTCTTATTGTTATTCTTATTCGACAACTTTTCGGGGCTACTTCCATTAATTGATTTGGGGCAAAAAAAAAAAAAGAAGAAAAAAACTTAGCTTAATCTTTCGATCTTATACTTATAGTGACGATATTTTTTGTGATCGGTCGGTAATTTGCCATCATCATCGTCATGAGCTTCTTATTCGGCAAGCGGAAAACTCCCGCAGGTTTCTTCTTTATTTCGATTTCAATTTCTATTTCTATTTTGTTTGTTCTTATCTTTTTATGTTAGTGATTGTTTTTATCCTATCATTTTGTTATCTAGGTCAAGCTCAGAAAATTTGGCTTTTCTTTTTTTGTATGGGTGATCGAAATTTGTCGTGTTTAAAGAAAATTTGGTTTTATATTTTAACTTTATTGTGGATGATCGAGATTCCGATCAAGAAAGGATTAGCAATTTGAATCCAGTATTGAGTTTTAGGAACGCTGTGGGCCCTTTTTTTTTGGTTAAAGAGAGAGAAGAAAATTTGAGCTGGAATGTACAGTTGATGATGATCCTGATTAGAATCAATTGAAACTAGGAGGATCAGTAAACTTGCTTGTTCAAATTTGAGCTTTTGTTCAGCCACAGTACAGTGGTCGAGAGTTTTGTCCTTATTGACAAATACTGTTATTGTTTTTAGAACTCCTGCGGGAGAATAAACGGATGCTGGATAAATCGATCAGAGATATAGAAAGGGAGAGACAGGGATTACAAGCACAGGAGAAGAAGCTGATCGCGGAGATAAAGAAAAGTGCTAAGCAAGGCCAAATGGTTTGTCTATCTTCTGCATCATTCCTCATAATATTACCTGTCATACAATTAGCTTCTTTGCTTGTTTCTACTCTTTTGAGTAGATTAGATTCCGAGATCCCTATCAGATATTCTACTCTCTGTTTAGACACTATTTTATCAGATTCTGGGTCATCTTACCGATATTTGGTTGTGCTGACCGCACATTGGATATTACAGGGTTTGGGGATGTTGGGCTGTCATACAATTAGCTTCTTTGCTTGTTTCAGCTCTTTTGAGTAGATTAGATTCCGAGATCCCTATCAGATATTCTACTCTCTGTTTAGACACTATTTTATCAGATTCTGGGTCATCTTACAGAGATTTGGTTGTGCTGACCGCACATTGGATATTACAGGGTTTGGGGATGTTGGGCTGTCATACAATTAGCTTCTTTGCTTGTTTCTACTCTTTTGAGTAGATTAGATTCCGAGATCCCTATCAGATATTCTACTCTCTGTTTAGACACTATTTTATCAGTTTCTGGGTCATCTTACAGCTATTTGGTTGTGTTGACCGCACATTGGATATTACAGGGTTTGGGGATGTTGGGCTGGGTGATAGTGCAAGTGAAGTATCTAGTGTTTGTGTAGAATTCAGAAGTTGATCTGAACAAATTTGCATAATTTGGTGTCGTGTGTGACTTAGTTATTTGGGTAGAATTTTTTTGGTTATGACAATTTTTTATGCCTGCATTTTTATTATGGAAGTACACTTTCTTGATCAAGATGTTCTCTTTCTTCACAAATTTCTGATAATCATGGCATAATTTTAGTCCTAGTCTGCTATCCCTGAGCTGTAGTGCTGTTTTTTCATAGGTGAAAATTTTCTTTTGATTCTCACAGTAAAATGATTTGGGGTGCTATTTTTCAGGGAGCTGTCAAAGTAATGGCAAAAGATCTTATCAGAACAAGACACCAAATTGAAAAATTCTATAAGCTCAAGTCTCAGCTCCAAGGTGTATCCCTCAGAATTCAGGTATTACATTTTTTTCCAGTTACATATTGGTGGTGATTGTCTATTGTGCTTGTTTTATTATTGATTTACTTTATTTGTTCGTTTTGTAATCTGCTCTGCCATGCTTCTCTCTCTCTCGCTCTCCCTCCCTCCCTCCCTCCCTCTCTCTCTCTCTCTCTCTCTCTCTCTCTCTTGTACGCACACACACCCACACCCACTCAACTAGAGCTAATGGGTGAAAGCTGAAAATCTGATACTGTTGCTATGTTTTCATGGGTGATTATTTGCACTTTGAGCTTATTGACTCATGAAACTTTTGGGGATACACTATCATGATAGCTAAATAGCTACGTCTCTGCCCCTTAGTAGTTATGTTTGCTATTTTTCTGTGTAGCAGAAGTATGGTAAAGGCAAGCTGCCTTTATTCAAGTGGTTTTTAACTTGGTCTACACAATAATTTCCTGTTATGGTGATAACTAAAGAGTTCGTCTTGGAGGAACTTGTATCTTCCTGATTAGGAAGCCATGGATTATTCTTTTCTGATTCCATAGCACATATGACCCTGCTGAAATTTTCATTGTTTTATTCTGTTAGTTTTCATGAGAAGTTATGCAAAAAGTTGATTTGCATTGACAGTGCAGACACCTCGAGTTTCTGCTTGTTAAGTTTGATATTGGATATCTTTCCTCAAAATAACTGCAATTGTACCTATCAGACCTTAAAATCAACCCAAGCAATGGGAGAGGCAATGAAAGGTGTTACAAAGGCAATGGGGCAGATGAATAGGCAGATGAACTTGCCATCATTACAGAGAATAATGCAGGAATTTGAGAGACAGAACGAAAAGATGGAAATGATGAGTGAGGTGATGGGCGATGCTATTGATGAGGCTTTGGAAGGGGATGAGGAAGAAGAAGAAACAGAAGAATTGGTGAACCAAGTCCTTGATGAGATTGGTATCGACATCAATTCTGAGGTAATTTGTGTTATATCTTCTCCTCTTCTCTTCTCTTCTTATTCAGATCTTATGAACTCACATGCACCAACTTGCCTTATGAAGAAGATTTATATATTTTTGTTGTTTTCCAACCAATGCCAGCTCGTGAATGCACCTTCATCAGCTGTGGCTGCCCCAGCTGCAAAGACTAAAGTTCCACAAGCTGAGGCAACTGGAAATGATGACAGTGGCATAGATAGTGACTTACAGGCCAGGTTAGACAACTTGAGAAGGATGTGATTACTTGTAAAAGTTCTGGAAGATGAGATGATCTGTGGTCTTGTAACATTTGTGAAGATATTGCAAACTATGTTCTGGCAAAGATTGATATAACGATAGAGGATTTTCTCCGCCAATATTTATCTTCTCCATGTAATTACTTCTGGAGTGAAACCGTGAACCTATCTTTTATCTGAGTTCCTTATACAGACGAGAGATATATTATTGTTTTGCATAGTTTTTGTCACCGACTTGGAATTCAGCAGCCACGGGAATCCACCTCTGTTTTGCTTTTATCTTGTCTCGCCTGACTTCAGCCCCGGTAATTTTCTTCTTGTTTATTCTGTTCTCTTCCGCATCCCCACCCCATCCCCCGTACCCTTTTTTGCCGTTTTGCAGACTAATGGTTGTTTTTGTTCCAAGTATTCAATCGGATGCTTCTAAATTCTATTTCCGTTGGGAAAGTAGAAAAAATGACGAATGTGGAAAGATCTATGTCATGTAAGGATTTCAGTGACACGTTTCATGAACGAATTGTCTGAAATTGCTCTATAAATAATCGTGAAATGTGACTGGATAATAAGTTGCCCATCTCCACATAACTTCCAGAGTCTATTAGGTATCATTTTGCACGGGGCTAAAAAGATTTGGCACGGATCGCCTGCTAATAGAGAACAGCCTCGATAGGCGAGAGTACGCGTTTTGGAAGAGAAATAAAACAAAAGAGGAACCTCGATGGGATATGATGCCAAGCCAACCCGTCTTGTATCAGTTATTTCATATAGACAGGAAAAAAAAAAGATGTTTACAGACATAACTTGTCTTTTTGTTTCTATAGACTATATAATAAAAGAAAATAGAATTGTGCAAAATGCTCAGAGGGAATGGATGGAAGAAGAAGAAACAGTGTCCAAAAAACACAGAACGAGCACAACAGAAACAGCAACAATCCAGGAAGAGCATTACCGGGAGCAAGAAGCAGAAGGAACAGCAATTCTGAGAACTGCGACGCAAAGCCAGCAAAGGCAACCCATGCTTGGAACTGGTGTAACAGCCATGATTGATTAACCCAAACATAACAATTGCAAGCTGGGCCATGAAGGAACGAAGCTCGGGAAGCAAGAATGTTAATGAAACTGTGGCGATCAAACTGGTAATGTGCAGGGCAGTGGAACAGCAATGGAGAAGAATCAAAATACAAATGCAGAACAAGGAACTGTTGTTAATATCTCAGACAGCTCTGGATAGCAAGGTGGCAACTCTAATGGAGGATATACAAAGCTTAAAGGTGTTGTTTCAAATGTGGTCTTTTTGTTTAGATAGTGAAAACAGGAATGAAATTAGTGAGCAGATCAACTCTTATGCCACAAGTTATACAGCATTATTTGAGCCTTTGCTCGCTACAGTTAAGCTCTTACCAACGTTTTAGAAAGAAAAAAAAAAAAAAAACGCATTAATTTATGCCCGTTACACTTTTGATCGATTCATCTTCTCTCTGTTTCTCCCATATGTATACCGAGTCGAGCTAAAGCAGCTACCTTTACGAGTTTTACTGTTTACCAACGAGATGGGAAGAATTGGGTTCTATATTTCCTTGTCTGTCAATTTCATCTTTCTCCATCGGGGTCCACATTAACCTTGAGTTGTCAAAGGCCAAAATTTTCCATAATTGCAGGCGTTCATGCACAGACTAAAATGTCATATGCCGACAAAAATGCAGAATACAACGACGGGCCAATTTGACAGGACGGTAATTCCAGAGAAACATTAATTACACGGGGATCCTACTGGAGATTTGCAATCCTTCTCTGGAATGCCCTGCCCGCCTTGTAGGTTCGTTGAGAACCCGGTTCAGGACTGGTGGATCCACCGGAGAACGGCAAAGAGGACAGTCCAGATGAGAGTATAGCCACATATCTATACAAGAAGCATGAAACGAGTGTTTGCACCTTGGAAGCTGCCTCAATTCTTCATCCTCTTCATACACAGATAAGCAAACTGCACATTCGTACTGGCTATAGTGAGCTTCATCTCTTGATGACCCTCCTTTCTTGTACTTGAAACTGGAAATCAAGTTCACATTAAGGCTATCCAAGCTCTGACTTGATGCTGAAGCAGCCTCGAACCGCGACGGAGCAGCCATGCCTTGACGCGGCCTGTCTGCCTGACTCTGAGAGCACCATCTCAGGATGATCAAGTTGTATACTGCAAGAATTAGAGCTGCTGTCCCGGCAACCACCATTCCATAATAAAACAAAGGCATATTGTTGATGTTGTTGGGGGTGGTGACGGTGGTGAGTAGGGGATTGGAGAGTTTCCCATGGCTCTACCAAAATGATTTAGGCTAGCGGAGGGTTAAGGTTTACAGTGTATGAACTAATTAGTAAAGAATATACAGAACTCTTATCTAAATTTTTTACTGTTTTGTATGATAGAAGTATAGCCTTTAAAACCGTGCCAGGTAAGGAGCATAGACATGGAAGGATTTGCCTGTGAATTGCGATTGGTTGTTCAGGATGCAGAGAATGACAAAGCAGCGTACATCAGAAAGCAGTGGACAAGTTGATAAAACTGAATTTTGATTAGTTTTTGGTGTGTTTCTTGTGGAGAGTAAAAGAAAATTGATCAAAAGATTCTAGTTTTGCGGTCAAAATTTTGCTGTGTCCAAATCCGCACGGAAATCTGTGGCTCCACAGCAAATAAACCGTAAAAATTGACACAGATTCGGCCGTTTCAACCTTCCCGTTTTAACAGCCTTATAGCAGCAAAGAAGGCTTTTTAATGAATTCTTATGTGGAACACTGCGAAATGTAGTCCGACTTTCCCGTAGATTCCTTCGCGAGTATAGAATCCGTTTTCTATGGCAATATATACCATGTCAATGGTCAAAGTGAAGGCAGTTCAAGTAAGACTTCTGTTCGCTACCATAAAACACTAAAGACCAGAGTATCGTTTAGTTGTGGACCACTTGCTGGATAATTGTCGACCATAAGAACAGGCTCATGTCGTCATCAAAATGAAGCTATCCTTCCAGCCCCTCTACTTTGGCACTTCACTTATCAGGTTCAAATTTCCAACCTAGTACTAATGTATTGAAGACAAAGAAAATGGAAAATGATTATGGCAATTATAGTCTTCTTTTTTTTTTTTTTTTGGTAATAAAAGGGACTATATATTAAATAAACTTAAGGTATAGGTACAAAACGCGGGAAACAAATTCCCTTAAGATCTGCATCTACTAGACCTCTCAAAACATAAGGGATACTTTCATAGCATACAAAATTCACGTCTTGTTGAACACCCAATTTTACCAATCTGTCAGCACACTGGTTTGCTTCTCTCATGCAGGTTCCTGAACCTCTGCTCTGCCGAAAGGTAATTATAGTCTTCACCTTATATATTGTTAGATCAAGTTTTGTTTCAATGCAACCGCTAGAGTAGGTTCACTGGTTAGAAAAAGCACTCTTAGAATTAGAATCTTTCTAACCGGATAACGTTATAGTTTCCAGCACAATAACCATGGTTGTGTGTGTGTGTGTGTTTTTGGAGGGGAGGGGAAGGGGGGATGTTGACCGGCAGGCAATCATTTTGATAGAGTTAGGACAATACTGCAGACGTGTAATCACTGTCTAATGGCCGTAATTAGGAAATATTTGTATTATAATCATATAATACATGTTCGTATATGTCATTTTAAAAAACTTTTATATTTCATATATTTAAAAAATACTTGTATTTTTTAACTAATCATATAAAACATGCAATAAACTATTAATGTATTATACTTCAATTTTTCAAAAAAAAAATTTTTAATTTTGAATAAGGATAATGACATACTTTCTAAGCTATATAGAAAATAGAAACGATATGATATCATAAAAATGGTAGGTGTATCTATGTTTAAATAATAAGGTGATAAATTTTAAATAATTTTAATGTCTCATATATAAAAATAGGTTTAAAATTAGTATAAATGTAGCATAGTCTTACAAATCTATAATATAATTATCCATATTTTTAGATCCGTAAATTTCAAATATATTCGTATTGTTCACATACAAAATTGTATGCATAATTTTGCCGAACACGTATTTTTATTCCTAACTTTTCATCGGACTTTTGAAAAAAAAATTCATATAATATGTATGTGTACGATATCTCGTCTGACAAAAATTTGGTAAACCCGATCTACGGGCCCGCTCATGGACAGAGAGATCTACAATCTGCCACGTGAACACTATGAATTAAATGGCGAGAAGCTCTCTCTATTCTCTTTTTGACCTTTTCCTCTCTCTTTCCCCAAACGGTTTCTTCCCCAAACTTCTGGCAAAGATCTCTGAACACTCGCAAGTCGCAACGTGCTCTTTTTTTGTTTTCTATTAAATTCTGTACTTTTTTTCATACATCTATTAATTTATGGATAGATTTTGGTTTTCTTTGAAATTTTCCGTAGCTTTTACCAAAAAAAAAAAATTAATAATAATAAACTTTAAGTTTTGCAAGAAAAAGGGAAGACAACTAGGAGGAGAAGATGGCGGCGACACTGTCCGATGAAGATTCAGCGGACAACTACTTCCATGGGAGAAATTTCTTCAGTCTATTAAAACAAAAAAAATCGGATATTAGGGAGTTTGTGAGAGAATGGCTCTACTAATCAATGGGTGGGGAAATCTCTCTCTCTCTGTAGATGCTGCCGCTTGCTCCTCCAATGCAATCGGTGTTCGATGGCGGCGGAGGAAAGGGGAAGGAGAGGAAGTTTCGAAAGAAGTGAAGTAAGAGAGCAGCAGCAGAATGATCAATGATGGTGGCGGCGAAACCGGTGGATGGATTTATGCTGTTGAAGTCTGGGGTAGAAGGCAAAATTGGTAGTAAAAGAATTAACTGTGCTTTTGTCCTGGAGCAAGAAGAAACAAATTCTCAATTATTAATTCATACAGTGTAAATGTGACGGGTTGTCTCCGTCATGATTGCCTGCAATTGTTATAAACCTCACCAACTGCAATTATCCCTTATTTCTTCTACATTTTGTTAGTACCATCCTCTTAGAATTCGGTTAAGAAAATTCCGAGCCTTGAGTTCAATTCCATCCATGTGTTGACGTTGATTTTTGACAGCCGATGAACTGTTGTCAATGGAATAACATATTGATGTTGGTGAAAATGCGAATGCGCTGATTTGATGCTGACTTCTTAGACGGCCAGTGTTCGTCCTGCTTTGGGACAATCGTTGTTCGTCCTGCTTTGAGCAGTCTGAAGGACTTAAAATTCGTATCAAAAGTGATTGATTATAAGAAGATACCACTGATTTAAAAAAAAAAAAAAAAAAACTGACTTGCGAATGAAAGTTACCGTATTGCTTAAAAGAAACATGAAGTTCGCAGCACACTCATAAATATTGCTTAGAATCAATGTTTTTAAATTCGAACGGGGAGTGGATCGAAAAATCTTCACAAGAGACGTGACTGGTTCGTGATTCAATCGGTCGATTCGATCCAATTTTCAAAACATTGCTTAGAATGAAAAGAGGCTTCATAACAACTCTAGTTGAGTCATGGAGACAGTGGTAACTATCCATTCTTATCTTTTAGGATAAGATGGCCACCATCAGCCAATTATGACTAATTATTAACCGCCTTTAAATGAATGAATGCTGCCGATAAATTATAAATATTTTCAGCCTCAAAGTTCGTACCAAAAACTTGGACCATTCGGGATGCAAAATGTAATTCAATTTTGAAGCCATATTCAAACTCGACTCTAAACCCTCGTCAGAATTTCGGTTCATTTTAGTTATTTGGATTGAAAATTTTTTCGAAAATACAACTACAGAAGTTGAAAGACGGAGCCTATAAATACAACTACACACAGATGTTGAAACTTGAAAGACAAAAACTAAAATTGACGTATGTAGGGCTAGGCCGAAGAAGAAATTCTAAAGTCCATATAGACACCTATCTCTTGTGCTTTGAAACCACTTTTAGGCCCAAATTTCCAAACAGATACGAAAAAAATATGATGGACCACATAAGACAATGACTTGCTCCTTAGCCGTCTGACAAATTTAACAAAATGAAGATTGAATTGATACTGATGACCACCATTTGCAAGCCGACGAACTTGATCTGTCAAAAATTTCAAACGCAAAACGCAGTGGATTAGTCTTAGTCAGTGAAACTTCACCGCCCGAGTCCGACTTTGAATTGGCAGCTTAACGTGTAGTAATTGTGCTTTTCGATTTTAAAAAAGGATTAAAACAAGAAAGTTAGTAGTAGTGTTTCTCTTCCGGAGAACGGGAAAGTTATAAAGCCGTTGTTAAGTTTGGAAGTTCCGCTAAATCACTAATTCTTTTCCTTACTATAATTGTTTCTCATTATCATAAGTTTTGTTTTAGGTACTGCCATGCATTAATGGTACTCTCCCACGCCATGAATTTCAAAGCATGCAACTGCTCCCAAAAAAAAAAAAAAAAGACGATAAAAAGGAATCATTTGCAATAATGATGAGATATTTTACTAAGAAAAGATAAAAACAAGAAGGGGACCCGGACACAGAAAAAGTTTTTGAAGATAAAAGAAAAGGGCCAAAAAAAAAAAAATTCCATTTGCATTTCTATTGTCCCTCTGCAAATTTCCTAAGCATGACCAATTTTCTCCTATTTAAGCCCGCCATTAGTTACCTGCTACTGAAGTCGTTGGGTTAGATAGATGGAGTCATTAAGAAGGGAAAGGTTTCTAACACTAGCACTCACCACCTCCTCTGTGATTTAAGAAATAGCATTGACCTCTCTTGAACTTGCTGATTCTTCGCATATTCAGTCCAAACTAAAAAAAAATGTCATTAAAATATTGTTTTAGAGAGTGAGATGAGAAATTTGTGCTAGATGTGCCCTTTGTGCTACATACCAAGTACTATTAGCGAATGAATGAAAAAATACTACAAATCAATTAATAATTAATAAACTTTAAGGGCTGTAGTTTATGGGTAAATGGGCATTACCCATTCAAAGTATCAGATCTTTATGAGCATTTTACTATCAAACATTTAACTTATGATAAATACATCAATGCTTGTGAGTAAAATTCAAAAAGTGTTATAGTAATATTATTACAAAAAGGAAACCGGTAGATTATCTATTTAATATAAATTAAATATTTTTAAAAAAAGAAATGGCTCATAAAGTATTAATTCTTTATGGCTTTTCTCCATTACATGAATAAAGTATCGGCTCTTTATAGGCATGTTATTCTGAATTATTTAATTTATATTAAATATATACATTTTTGTAACTAAAATTGAAAAAAATGTTACACTAATATTTTTAAGAAAGGGAAATTGGTAGGTTTTGTATTTGATAAAAATTAAATGTGTGAAACTAAAAAAAAAAAAGAAATTACCTATAACATACCAGTTCTTTCAACTTGGGATCCTCGGTGACATGTTTTCTATGCCAACTCAATGTCACCTATAGTATTGCGCCAAGTGTCATGTTATTATTTACACTTGTGTTAAACCAAACCAAGTTAAATTATTAGAAAATTAAAGTGTAAATAATAACAAGACACTTGGTGCAATACTATAGGTGGCATTGGATTAGCATAGAAAACATGTCATCGAGGATCCCGAGTGAGTTCTTTATGGGTTTCCTCTATTACAAGAACAAAGTACCAAGTATTTTATTTTGAATCATTTAATTTATGTTAAATACATAATTGTTTGTACGTAAAATTCAAAAAGTGTTACACTAATATTTTTACAAAAAGAAAACTAGTAGGTTTTGTATTTAACAAAAATTAAATACGTGAAAGTACCATTTACAGGTGGTTTAATTAGTTACTTAATTTGTTGACAAGAAATAAGGTTTCTTTTGCAAAATTTGTTCATTAGATTTCTCCAAATAATCAGGGTATAAAAGTAAATTTTTACAATCTTTTGTTAGCAAATCGGCACAAATTTCTCATCTCATTCTTTAAAATAATTTTTTAATGGCACTTTTTCTAGCCTAGACTGAATATACAAATAATCAGTAAGTTCAACAGAGGTCAGTGCTATTTCTTAAACAAGAGAGCAGATGATGAGTGCCAGTGTTAGAAACCTCAGGGGGGTTTCTGCAATTATCCGCATTCAGAATGACCAATCATGCTCATGAGGCAGACCCTCACCGAAGCGTATCCAAAACTGGGGATCCTTTTAGTTTTCCATGTATACATCGTCAACAAGCAACTGAAATAACTGCTGATTGATTCAGTAATTGGGTGTAGCTAAATCTGGTGCTCGGGGGTTTCATTTGATTACAGCAGCACATTAGATACTGTTGGCTATTTAATGGAAGGTGGAGCAGTCTTGAAACAGAAAGTTGGGACAGATGAGGTTGTACTAATGATTCCAAATCCCCAACAAACTTCAAAATCGACCAAACAGATTGGTGGGTTGAACGGAAATACTACAACTCCTACAATTCTTGAATCTACTACTTCATTCTATTCTTACTCTGCAATGGAGCAAGGAAATGTCCAGTCAACAACCGTACAAATGAGCACTTCTTCTTCTTCTCCAGCAACAGGCAGGTTGAGTAGTTCAGTGCTGAATCCACCATCAACATCAAACCAACCTCCATCTGAAACAAGTACCGGTAGTATTAGTATTCGGAGGCGGCCATTAGCCCAGTTTCGATGCCCCAAGCCTAAGTCAAGACTAGTGGAGCCGCCACAGCCTCCCAAAGTGAAGCTTATTGAGGACGGTAACATACAACCACCTGCACCTACGACAACCTCGCCTTACAGGAGCCCGATACGAAGGACTAGTACTCCCAACACTCCGAAGACTACAGGTTCAATTACCCCGAAAACTCCATTAATGGCATCGCCAGGATATCATGAAGATCAAGAGGATGATGATGATGATGATGGTGGAGTTTACCAGCCTGGGTATATCCCGGATCAGTTTGAAAAGAAAAGAAGTAAAAAAGTGGAATTTATCATTTTAATTGAATGGATTGCATTGTTTAGCATATTGGGTTTTTTGATTGTTAGCTTAACTGTAGATAAATTGAGTAGTTTGTACGTTTCGGGATTGCGCATATGGAGATGGTGTGTGTTGGTATTGGTGTTTTTCTGTGGGCATTTGGTTACTCAATGGTTTACTGAGTTGTTAGTGTTTGTGATTGAAAGGAATTATTTGCTTAAGAACAAGGTTTTATATTTTCTTTACAGTTTGAGGAAGAGTTTTCGAGTATCGCTTTGGTTGGGCTTGGTTCTGATAGCTTGGGCATTGTTGATTAATAGAGGGGTCAAGCGGTCAAGGCATACTATGAGAGTACTGAATCATATTACAAGGGCTCTTGCATCTAGTCTTATTGGATCAGTTTTGTGGATGGTAAAGACTTTCCTAGTAAAGCTATTAGCTTCTTCATATCATGTCCAGGCATTCTTTGATAAGATTCAAGAATCCATTTTTCATCAGTATGTTCTTCAGACCCTTTCAGGCCCTGCATTGATGGAAAATGCTGATACAGCTGGACGGTTCAGGAATAGCGGGAGGTTGAGCTTCAAGTACTCAATGAAAGGGAAACAAAAGGGGAAAGGGGATGAGGTGGTTAATGTGGATAAACTTTACAATCTGACACGAGAGAAGATTTCTTCTTTCACAATGAATGGGTTAGTTCAAGTAATAAGGACTTCAGGATTATCAACTATTTCTGATGCGCTTGAGCGGAGCGATGATGACGAAGAGGTTCCACAGAAGGAGATTGTAAGTGAGGTTGAAGCAAAGGCTGCTGCTAGAGATATTTTTAAGAAAGTAGCCAAGTCTGGCAACAGGTAAGATAAAATGCCTTGTATTTAGATTCTTCAATTTTGGTTGACACTGATTGTTGCATAAAATCTTTTCATCCCGGCCTAGGTATATTGATGAAGGAGATCTTTTGCGGTTTTTTCCACCTGAGGAAGTTGGTAATGTGCTTCCACTATTCGAAGGAACTGCACAAACTGGACAGATCATGAAAGCATCCTTCAAGAGTTGGGTGGTGAGATCTGTCTTTACTTATAAATTTCAAATTGATTCGTGGACTCACAGAAAAGTACTTATAGTTATTAAACGCGGTTCATTCTTGCATTCTATCATGAATTCTTCAATAACATCAGCTTGACTAGTTGACAGGTCACGGAAGTTGAGCTCTAATACTCATTTTATGTTTCTGAGATTCTTCAAATAAAAGCATTTTGCAGATTTTGAGTGGTTGGTTTTGAACATTTACTTGGAAAACTAACTTTAGACTGCAAAATAGGGATTTACTAACTTGTTCAAGAACACAAATATAACAGATGTATGAATACGGAGACTGTTGAACAAACTGTTTATGGAAGTGTTTTTATTTTCAGTTCTGATAAAAGTGGTGATTGGTCACAGGTAAAGGTCTACAATGAACGGAAATATCTAGCACATTCTCTGAATGATGCCAAAACAGCTGTTGAAGAGCTTAACAAGATCTCTTCTGCAATTATTTTAGTAGTCATCATTATAGTGTGGTTGCTGTTGATGGGATTTGCTACAACTAAAGTGTTGGTCTTCATTTCATCTCAACTTCTACTGGTGGTCTTCATGTTTGGCAACACAGCCAAAACGGTATTTGAAGCAATGGTCTTCGTATTTGGAACCCACCCGTTTGATGTTGGCGATAGATGCGTTGTCGATGGGGTGCAGGTGATCCCTTATCCCAAAGTGCATATCCTTTATTTTCTGTTCCACTTCTTCTTCCTAGTGTACCCTAACCCCGTTGAACTTCTCCAGATGATTGTTGAAGAGATGAACATTTTGACAACAATCTTCTTGAGATATGACAATCAGATGATATACTATCCAAATAGCATTCTTGCTACTAAACCAATCACCAACTTTAATAGAAGTCCACCGTTGGGTGATTCTGTGGAGTTTTCTGTCGATTTTTCCACTTCAGTCGAGAGCATAGCAGCTCTGAAGGCCAAACTAAAAGGGTATGTCTCTACCTCGTATATTTCATCTTATGATTCAGAAAGAAATGATAACTATATATTTAGTTGCCGCCTTCTCATTTTTATTTTTTTTTTGAGAATTTCCTGCCCTGCCCTTCCCTTCTTGTCTTTGTTTCATGGGTGTTGGCTGATGCCAATTTGTGTTGAGAAGGCTTCAGGGGCAGAAAGGAATAATACAGTCTATTAGGAGCTTCTAAATTTTAGAGTATTCAACTTTAAGTTCATTTTCCAAATTAGCCTCCCAGTTAAGCATGGTAATAGCCAGCTTTCAATTCATTAGTCCGTTAGGATTTGAGGTTTCACAAGAACTCGATATCTGCTGATACAGGATGATACTTTCCATGAAAGATGTTCGCAATTCACCTGTGTTTCGGATTGATTTCCGCAACTGTAATAGTGTCATCCGTTTCTTCAGGTTTTCATTATTGCTTCGCACGCCAAGCTTCATGTAATGACTTTGGACAGTTCAACTTCAATTTTCCTTTCTAGTTCCATCCTGCAGCTGTTCTTTTCTAGTTCCAACACACACTCGACGAGATTGATTTCGGCAAAAGAACCAACTGGATACACAGAACTCCCCCTGCTTTTCTAGTTTCTGCTGTAGTACAAGTAAACCTTGCTCTGTAATGCAAATTGCATTGGCAACCAGAAATTGAGGCTACAAATTAGTAGTTCCTTTCGCTGTCTTTATGGAAAAGAAATTTACTTAGTCTGACTATTGCTGCCCAGTACTTTTACATTTCATTTCTGGAGCCCAAATGAAAAGGAAGGAAACTTCCATAATTGGTTGTAGATGTAGTGTTTTAATGGACAATGTGCTTTGTGGTGTGTTTCAGGTATTTGGAGAGCAAGCCTGAACAGTGGCAGCCTAGCCACAGCGTCCAGATCAAGGAAATTGAGGATGTGAACAAGCTCAAGATGGCTCTCTACGTTACTCATGCCATAAACTCATCATCATCGCAGAGAAGCAGCCACAGATCTGATCTAGTCCTTGAGCTGAAGAAAATTTTTGAAGTTCTTCAAATCAATTATCATCTTCTTCCTCAAGAAGTGCATGTCAGATATGTTGGATCAGAGTTTCCTCCATCTAACACCTATTGAACGATGATATATTCTTCTTCAGCATTCATTCTTTAAAACTATAGCAACAAAGTTGCTCGTGGCATTATTAGCATTTGGAATCATACACGCACCCTCTTTTGGAGTTTTTTTTTTTTTTTTGGAGAAAAATAATACTGTAGCCATATATACGAACGAGATGAAAATATACTAATTACTCAATACGTCAAGAAAATATTTCAAAAAAAAAAAAATTTCCCCAAAAATTCACAAAAATTTGTCGTTTTGAGAATGCAGTAGGTTTGCCAAATCCTTCAAAGAGTAAAGATCATGCATGGTTCTGGTTTAGTACGAATGGATTTGTCATCCAATGGAAAAGATCGAGAATCCATTATTATTATTCGGGTTATTATCCAATTCAGACAATCATTCACCTTTGTTTTCTTCCGGGTTCTGCTTTAATAATTGCCTAAAACTAAAAGGCTTCATCTAATCTCTCTTTGACAACCTTAGAAAATGAAATAAAAGTGAACGGGACAGCACCAAGCATTGGGAAGCATGGTCGGTCAGAGCAGCGTAACAATGCCCTGTAATTATTGGCAATGCCCAAAAACGTGCACTGTTCTTCCAAAAAGACAGTTCTTGGCTTTACATCCACTAATATCGCCATGGAGCGAAGAGATAAAATGGCATGGCAGCACGTAATTCCAATCGGACCCAATATCATTTCTCCAATATCAAGAATCTCTCCCTCTCTTCTCTTCTCTTTTCTTTTCTTTTCTTTTCTTTTCTTTTTTGGATTGAGGGATTTGGATCGAACTGATTCAAATCATTCATCCAAATAACTATTGAATTACAAACCTATTCATCCATTCACATCAAACCCATTGATTCTGTTTAACTCTACGCTGAGGTGAAGGAATAGGCCCAAGGAGGGACTATGAGAAAAGCAGCTGGCCTGACTTGATTACCCATCAAGTATCAATCATGTCTCCTCTTTTCTGAAATTCCAAAGCAGAGAGATTCACCCTTTTTTACTGTCATCTTTTACTTATTGTATTCTGCTCACATATCTGTCATGCATCAGCTTGGAATTTACACCCCACAATACAGCAAAGCCTTCACTCTTTTCTAGTTTTCGTGTTGCACGCGCATGCTACTGTTTGATACTCCCTCCGTCCCGTTTTGTTAGTCTTGATTTTTTTTTCACATATATTAAGAAAGTATAATTAATTTGGTTGGAAACATAAATTTAGATTAATAATTTCCTAAAATACCCTTATGCTAATCACGAAGAGTGCCAATTAATATCAGTTATAACTAATGGGGTTAGTATTGGAAAAGCTCAATATATTCAATGTAGTGGGTTAGTATTTAATAACAATGTATTAATAACAAGATATTTAATAAGGGTATTTTAGACAATTTGAAAGATTACTACATTTCTTAATGGAAAAGTGGATTACAATTTGGGACAGACGAAAAAGGAAAACAAAACTATCAAAGTGGGACGGAGGGAGTATCATGTTCCCTCCTTCAAGTTTGGTTTCATGTGTGGGCGAGCCTACAAGTTTTGGATCACTCCTGGATAAGCATAATATGATCGACAATTTCTATTTCATTCCTTTTAAAATAAAAGAAAAGAAAAGAAAAACTAGTGAATTAGTGCATCCACATTCTAGCTAGCTTTCTTGGGCATGATGCGTCCAGAAAACGAGTTTTGACCATAAGCCTTTGCGGGGCATGAGTATGGATGGATCAGGATTGCCAGCGAGGGTAAAGATGGGAAAGGCGAGGTGTTCCATGCAGGGAAAGTGAGTCAAAAAAGTTGTGGACTGGTGCATCCTTGAATGCTGCAACCATGTCCTGGCCATGGCACTTGTGGATGAGAGCATGAGCGAGTATAAGTGGAACTGGGCTCCCGTCGGCTTGAGCAACAACCTACTTGTTTGGATCCTTTTGGGTGTCTTCGCTTTGATTTGGTCCCTCTACGTTGTGTGCGCCAGCACACCCTTGAAGAGGATGAAGAGCGCCTGAGTCTGGATTCTCTCTCTCTCGCTACTATTTCATGACAAATAAAAGTGAAGTTTAGGAGAATTCGATTTCAATCGTTATTATGTGTCACAGGATGTGTCCGATCACTTACAGATATTTTCTTGTCCCACAAAGACAATTTTCACATCGACAGATCACTTACAAACATTTTCTTATTTCACTAAAAATAATTTTCACATTGACAACGAATTTGAATACAGAATCTTTCATAAAAAAAGAGAACCTTTCTTGTTAATCGAGCAAACTTGTATTAGCGTCTGGATTGTTACTATAAACTCCACAATTCAAGTCTTACCGAATTTGTGTCATACTACTACTACTTCATTTGATGGTATTTCTGTAAAACTTCTCAAGTGTGTTTGGATTCTCAAGTGTGTTTGGATTGAGATGATTTTTGAAAAAATAGTTTGTTTCACGAGTTTCAATCATTTTTTTTTATATGTCACGTTATAAAAAGTGTTAAAATAATTACTCAAATAAATCATCCAAATAAACTCCTATTTGGTTGGCTTCTCCTCCTAGCTTTGCTATCATAAATTCATTTACCTCTTGTTTTTGGTTTTGGTGGTTGTCAATCAAAATCTACTAAATAGCTCGAATTATACAACCAAAGCTCGCGGAGCCAGAACAATTAGTGGAGATAAAGTAAGAAAGCAGTAATTAATTATCATTTCCTTTTAAAGTAAAACAATCAAGAGCAAAAGTTTATTAAGGAAGTGAATAATGAACATTGAACTCTGGTACCAGACATATTGCAACTACCAAAATTTAATTTTGCAGGGCTATCCAAAAATGACTTCTTCTGCTGGAGAAAGGAAGGGATAACAAGTGCAGCAACTGTCTGATATACAAATACAAGGTTCTCACCGACTGCAAGCTTCGCCACAAAATTCACCTTCACAAATTTATTTGTTGTGATGGCAGAACCGTTTCAGCAATTCTTGAATTAAGACAATCAGCGGCTCGGGCTCTTGGCAATTTTATGAGTTCTTCACAAATTACTTGCGCTATATTCACTTAATGGGTTTCGGGTTTTAACCAGAAGGGGGGGAAAAAACTAACCGGGTTTCAAGTTTTAACCAGAAAAGGAAAAATTAAAAAAATGGGGTGTGCACATTTACTTACAAAGACGGTTCCACATATCAATCTAAACCATCCACTTGGGAAGTAGTAGTAGTAGAGAATTAGTGAGTTGGAGTGTTGTTTTCTTTTCTCCTTTCAGTCATCCATTGCTTTTAGCCTACACTGACAAATTGAAGAGCACAACTACTAGAGGCGGAGCCCTCAAGGAGTAACCCGAGCGGTCAGCTCCCTCTTTTTAGAGTATGGTAAATTTATCTGAGCAATTAGGGTTCGAGCCTCCTTGCTATCGTGCTCAGAGTGGAGTGGGGCCTTCTCTCCTTGATCGGAGTGAAATTAGTCAGATCAAAGGTCCGGATATCCATTCCGTCACAGAAAAAAAAAAAGAAAATACTACTACTACTACTACTACTAGTAGAGGCGGCGGGCATGGCAAGTTGGAAATCTGCACTTTAACCGGACCGCCTTTTGTCTTTTCGCATCTGGGATCCATCCATCCATCCATCTATCAGATTCCTCTGTCGTTCACCACTTATTTTCAAAAGGCTAATCCTTTTATTACATCACCTAAATTACATCACCTAAATTGATATCACCCCCCAATCATGTCTGTCTTTTTTGTTGTAAACTATCATCTCTGATTAAAAAAAAAAAAAATTTATGTGAGTGTTATCTCTTTTGACCAAAAATTTGTGTAGTAGGACAGATATTTTGTCGTGTATCATTTATTTTTTACGTTTGAATTCTTTTATTAAAAAAAGACTGTCAGGTCCTGGTCCTTTTCTTCTTTTTTTTGGTCTAATTATTAAATGGAAGATTGTGATCGCATGAATATAATAGTACATTATTGTGATGTATCCAATCAAGTCAATAATGGGTTCCGAGAGCATTTGCTAATCTTTGCTATCCACTCAAGTCATTGTGAAACAGTTTGTGTATGTTATTATTTGGCCCTACTTTTTTGTTAAACATAATCAATCTTTATGTGCTCGAATTGGATTGCAAATTGCATATCCCATAATCATACATTTCATCTGGAAGATCAATGGGGCTAACGTATATCACCAGCTGCCACCCACAATCTTAATCCTAAGAAGGTTGGTATACCAGCATATGTGGAGCTGATGACCTAACCATGGTAGCATATATCCTTTGGTTATCGTATGGGATAGCAACTTATCAAACAACAAAGATCAAGGCCCATTGAAAATCAAGAAATGAATTGATCCTATTCAGCATCCGAAGAGGTTAGATTCATTGTTCGAATATTTTCACAAATTTACCATAAAACAGTAGCGCAGAAAGTGGACGCTCTGAAGTTTCTAGTGAGATTTTAGGGACAACTTTAGAAACCTTCCCTGAGGTTTCTGATAATTTCACTAAATTCTTTTGAGATTTTAAAAATTACGCTTATCTCCTTTATCCATCTAAAATCACCATTAAAAGTAGTTTATCATAGTGGTGGAACTATTGTCATAATTGCTTATCAAATAATAAATATGGTATTGAGAAATTGACAATTTTTTCTTACATTTGTGTTAAATATATTACGATTATGTTGGATAGTAATTTAAACTTTATAATTTGAGGGCATTTTAGGGTATTTATATAAAAAAAAAAATTTTTTGACAAAGTCTAATATTTGATTACCAAAAGTGTTAAATTAAGGGAGATGGGTGTAATTTTTAAAAATTTCAAGGGAACTCAACGCAATTACTGAAAATCTTAAGAAAGGTTTATGAAATTATCTTGAAATCAAAATGAAGTGTATTCCTAGTAGTCCCCATCAATGTAGCATTAAATGCAAAGTACGTATTACTGTGCCGATTTAATTACTCTTTGGAAAACTAGAGCCTCTAGCTGACACTACAGGGTCCACAGGGAAGTGGGCGCTGGATG